TCGTATTAAGTCACGCTTAATTAAAAATACGGAATATCTTTTTCTTTTCAATTATGACGTCATTATCCTTACCAAGTTGAATTACTTAATTCATTTCAAAACATTGCCTGCGTGTAAATTGCAAAGGACAGCTAACTGAAATACCTCATTAATTAAATAACTGAAAGTGGGTCTCTAGTCACGGAACTACAACACGTAGACCGGACAGATCCTGATAGTTTGTACAACTCAAATAAACTAAAACATCGTTAAATCAATGTGGCATGGACAATCCCCATGCTCACCAAATACACAACATACTCATCAAGTCTCAATACAAATAGCATGGTAATGGAAAAAGCATAAAACCAAGCAGGTGCATCAGCATAAACAGTAAACATGATAATCAACTAAGCTTCGGCCTCCTGCCGCTAGAAGTCTCGGCCCCTAGGTTACCTGAACCTGAAATAGCACCCCAAACGTGGGATGAGATCTCTAAACAGAAATCTCAGTAAGGCAAGGGGTCCTCAAGGATCTTCCACCACAAGCTCACTTACATGTGCAATATAAGTTCAAAACGGTTTAACAGTATAAGTTCCAAAATAGTGCAATGCAGCAGATAATCATGTCATGTGTGTCAATACTAATGTACTGGCCAGAGAATGCAGGAATACGTCTATTACTCACACTAGTGCAAGACGCCACTTGCACCCACCCACGGTGTCACCGTCTTGTATGACGCCACATACTCAGGCTTACCGTCAAAGTGGAACAACACATACATATTATAAGCAATTACACATAAAGCTCAACAACATTTTCAATTATCAAAGCATGTAAACACAGCATGCATATAAGCTCAACAACATTTTCAATTATCAAAGCATGTAAACACAGCATGCATATAAACTGTTCCCCCATGGGGTATGGTGGAACCACACAATGGCTAAACCGAGGACACGAAAGCTTACCTTGCAAGCTAATTATCCAATGCCAAGAGTCCACACAAACTCAAAGTCCACACACAGCAGAATCACAATTTGTTTTGGACCAGCAATCATATCAACAACCATAGTTCATAAGCACATACATAAAGACAATGTTTCTCTTTACGTTTCATATCTTAAGGCTTCTCACAAAGTCACAAGCCCTTAATCACTTGATTCTGACTTAGTTTAATTATTACAGAAGTCTCACTTCATCAAACTAGGGTCCACCAACCCAAACACAGTTCTGTATGAACAATGCAGCTACTGTTCTTCGAAAACTCAGAATATCCGGATATTCTTCGGGGGCATATCCGGATATCAATATCCGGATATCAATATTCGGATATTGAGAACCCCATACCCGGATATCAATATCCAGATATTTCGCGGCAGAACTCAGATTTTGCATTTCGCGAGATATCAATCCAAAGGTTCGACTTTTATCGACTACAGAAGCTTAAACATGCATTTCTAGGTGTGTTTAACCTTACCCAACCTTAAATTATTATCTTTAGCTCATTACATGCATCAAGGCTTCATTTTTAACTAAGAAAACTCAAGTTCAAGGGTGGTAAGGCTTACCCAAGCTTAAAACAGAGCAAGGAGGTGCTCTTGGAGCTCACCAAACAGTCTCCAAGGTTCAGATTACATAAGGCCACAAATTTGGGATCAAAGCTTGGTCCTTTCTCACCAAAATGGCCTCTTGAAGCTTCAACAACCAAGGAAAAGGTTCCAACACCACAACTCAAGAACTCAGCCCTCTCACACACATAAGACAACAACCAAAACTCAGCAATGATGCACCCTTCCCACTCACAATGATAGTTCACACACTCTCAAGGTGTTTTGATGAAGAAAGTATAAGGAAATGTGGTTTCTTTGGAGGAGAAAGCTATTAGATCTGAAGAAGAAGGGAGGCAGCAGCTCCACATGCAAAAACCCAAGCAGAAATGGCTGAGTATCAGCCTAAGGTTTTGTGCAACTGACTATTTATAGTCCACTTAATTTTAAACGCACAGTATTAGCGCTAATAGCTACGCTTAGCATTTTAATCCCAAACTTAGGATTCTGAAACTACTCAATTTTCTAAGATTTATCATATTTATATTTTATTTTTCGCAGCACCTTTCCAGTACGCGCTTTTCCATAGCCAGTATCAGTTCTGGCATCAGTTCTCATTATTTTAACTTGAAACTTGTTTTACAAGTCCTATATATTATTCTAGGAATATTCATGCACTTATTATAATTTTTCGGGTTACTTAATCGGTACGCATTTATACCGAGTAGCAGAACCGGTATCTGCACTTTTCGTCAGAAAAGCGACTTTCAGCTTTATTAAACACTTACCATAATTATTTAAGCCTTATCATAATTATTAGGGTCAATTATGGAATTATTTCCTAATTTCTCATAATTAATTAATTAACTTCCTTAATTAACGGTGCGAGTTCTTACAATATAAGTTAGCTTTTCTGGTTTGCTTTTTCTCACTTGATTCAGACTACTATATTAGCTGAGGTAGTTGTTCAAGTAATGTAACTAATCGATTCACTCTCTTTTCTGAAATATGAAGCTCAGTAACTAATCGATTCATTTCTCTCTTTTCTGAAATATGAAGCTCAAGTTTATACTTCATTCTCTCTCGTATTCTATTACATACTTGAAGTTTTTCCAACTTATCTTGCATCAACTAGTTTATCAAGTGGCTTCCAATAGTTCCGGCAGCCCAAATGGATGACCCTTACCAGGCTCAATAATCCAACCCACACACAATGCCCCACACATCACCTCTTCCTCTGAGCAAGTAGGTGACTTTTCTCCCTAATCACCAGAACATACGGTGCTGGTATGCAGGATAAATGGCCTTAACACCTTCAGGCATGACAAAGACAGTGGAGGATAGATTGAGTCATCTCATCCAATCTCATCCCCCCTCACCGTATTAAATGTCAAATCTCATCTATAAATATATCCTCTCCATTACGAAAGAAAGTACTGTTCGAATACATTTTATGAGTTGTTACTCTGTTCAATTGAAGAACCTTTTTTACTAGAAAACACTACAACCCCTTCCCATGGTATCTCTTCATAGTATCAAGGAAGCTTCTTAAGGGTCTTGGTTCATACCATTACCATAAGAGCTACCCTATATTAAAATATATTCGGTTCCTCGATCACCAAACAACTCACCATTCTTCTTCCAAATCAAAATTTAGCATTCACGTCTTGTTTGTATGCATGCTTCTCCTAAGTGTGGAACTTCTGGTATGTACCCCAAGGAGATTGTAATTCTGTAACCAAAGAAGAGAAGTTTTCTCCCATATATAAATGACAACCTTCGAAGCTGAGGACTTTATATAACTATATTCAGGTTTTCTCAGCCACCTTTTATAAATATTTAGGAATTTCACTCAAGGATGGGATGATCCTAAGAGTTTTAAAGCATCATAAACCATTATTAAACATGCCAAACATTACGAAAAATGCCTTTCTTGGGCAATGATAGATAAAATGCCTATTAGTATATGTAAATATATATACATTCTTATAATGCCTTTGAAATCATTCAAGAATTATGTTACAGAATCATTGTGGCTATTAGGCAGCTGGGGAAGATCTACAGCATGATCTTGACGTCTATAGATCATCTGATGGTGAAGAGTTGCTGCATATGCCTCAGATACCTGATCAGCTCCTGTGAGTTGTATCTGCACTTTCAAACTTTTTGGCAAGGTTCTATCTTTCAGACTCACATTATAATTTGGAAAGATGGTTAAAACCACACTTCCCGCATGAAGAGTCGTCAACACAGTTCCAATAACAGCATTTTCATAATGAATGAAGCTAGAATCTAGAAGAGCGATTCGAGCTGTAATTGGTAAACATTTCCTTCCATGGAGTGAAAGGAATAATCTTATTGCACCAAAATGAAGTGCAGTATAGCCTTCTTGCCTCCAATGAGTAATTGACTTAGTAGGAATCTCCAGATCTACATACTATATAAACCCCAAATTTTGGGAATAGAAATTCTATTTCAAAATTCCATGAAAATACATATATCATATATTATTGAAGAGATCTCGATATGTAGAAAAAAAGTCCTAAGATTCTCAATTCAATTAGACAAAAAGGTTCATCAACTAATGCATCAAAAACATCTCAATTTCTTGATTCTAATCAACAATATGTATTCTATAATCATGGACACAGAGCTCTAATACCAAATGTAAATTTTTTTAACCTGGATCATGTATATGATTATAAAATACCAAACAATATGAAATTAAAATTGGGATTGTGTGTACCTTGTTGGACCATCATATAGCCGCAGGAAAAAAAGGACAACATGCTAGGATCTTCCTCTCTATGACCTATTCCGAAAGTTGCAACCTCAGTGCGATGGCTCGTAGGATTTAATCCCAATATAAATAGGCTTGAGATGAGACCTAGCCAAATACCCTGAAAAGAGTTTGTGTCCACTAGGTCCACCCATCATAAAAAACCAAGTTCACACTAAAGTATACACTGCTGCTGAACTAGGCCCAATATCAATAGATCACAAAAGCTCAATTTGATATGATTACAATGGACTAATCAAAATAACATAATTGGAATATCTATTAACCCGGTTAATTTTAAAAAACAAAACTAATTAATTAATATCGCCCTCGTAAATAAAATTTTCCAACATTTGTAACTTCCTAACTTTTGACTTTGGAAGTCGTTTTGTAAAACAAAGCTAACTTTGGAAATCTTATAAATTAATGGTTTTGTGAATATAAATTATGCACAGGAGAATTTTGATTAGTAAGTAATAGAGTACTTAATAGGTTTCAAGGAGGCATTCCTAACTCTGGATGGTCATGGACGTCCAAAATGGATCATAACATTTTCATTTTGCCATGCATGTGTACAGAGCTATTTACCAATTTACTATTTAAAAAAATCTTCTATTTACCTATTTACTTATGTGTCCAAAATGGGTTATTGTACCTATTTACAATAACATCTTCTATTAATCGTGGACTAGGTGGTGCCTTGTGCAGTTCTTGCGGTACTAATTCACCCTAATACAAGTCATTCGCGCTTTGCTGGAGTCCTTTGGTCATTCTGTTTATACTTGGAAGCTGTTTCAGTTCTCCCTCAACTTCGTTTTATGCAGAATGCAAAGGTTGGTCCTGAAGACTTTGTTCAAGTAAAATATTTGATATCCTTGTGAGTATATTTTAACTATGGTATGTTTCCAGATGATTGAAACATTTACAGGATATTATGTATTCGCTCTCGGTGCTTCAAGATTCATAGCACTGGCTCTATGGATTATTCTGGTGAGATCAACTCTTGCTTTGGTTTCCTATAATTTCTCATATTTTAAGTTGTAGAAACACACATTGCCAAATAGCCATTGGCATTTCAAATTAAAAAAATATAATATCTATCTGCAAGAATGATTTCATAAAATTTTATTTATGCTGATTTTCTTAATATTTATATATATAACACATATTTGAAAATATCATTGGGGACTACTTATCACAAGAAATTGCACTGTGGTGGTAATTTTGGATGATTCTTTAACTATCAATACATTTGCTTTCTCAATGAATAGTTTGCAATCATGATCTAATCTTCCTCATTGTCAAATATTTGTTTATACAGTTTCTTAATGTTTATTCATAAAATCCTTTTATGTTATGCCATTGGATATTAGGACAGGAACATATTGAACAATGTTAATTTAATATTTTCTATCCTTTTAAAGATTTTTGAGACTCGAGGGCATCATCTATTTTTGGCTGGGAGTGGCTATTTCTGGTTCTTGGCAGCTTTTCTAGCAGAGATGGTTCAATCGTTCATCTTGGCTGATTTCTGTTACTATTACATGAAGAGGTAAGCCAATCTTTTTCCTCTTCTAGAGGTCACTTTTATTTTTTGTTCAGAATTCAGAATTTATATTTCGGGTATAATATTTGCTCTGTAAATAAAAAATTACACAAACATGTTAAAGCCAGAAACTACACAAAGTGGAGGAAAGTCATTGAGGATTGGAAGGGAAAATGTTTTTCTTTTGTGAAATATTTGTGTGAAATACTTATATTTGCTTTGTATTGTTTCTTTCAGCTTCATACACGGGCAACTTTTGAGGAAGATGCCTGTTTAAGGATCTTGAAATTTGCTGATGTAGAATGAGTTGAATAATGAGTTAAGCACAAGTAACTTAGTTTGAGGCTAGTTGTCCTACTATCTAACATGTGATGTAGGCTCTATCCTTTTCTATCATTTGATCCATGTTTATTCTTCGCCGCACATAGACTGGGTTTTAAACATGTAATTCATCTACATTATGGATACATTTCAAAATAGAATATTAATAGAAATACTTCATGCTTTTATCTTTAATCGTTTATCCTTCAAGTTTTATTAGTTTATCTTAGCCATTTTGATTCAAATGAAAGCTTCACCAAGCAATCTGAGGATTGATTCAAGGGATAATATGAGTATTAGAACGGACGATTGCCAAGAGAATATGAGTTAATCTTTGAAATCAAAGCTGAAAAATTGTTATGATGCTTAATTTGGGATTTGTCTCGTAATTATGCGAGATCCTATTTTCACCCACGTTGTAGGGATGCCGGAAGAGCTCAATTCCAAAGAAATAATTATTGCATGTTTAGATTTTTTTTTTTTAAGCTAGAAGCTACTTATTATAAGTAAAAATTAGGTTAAATAGGTTTTGAAAAAAGCTCTTATAATGAAAAGCTCTTTTTTTTATAATGAAGAAAAAAGCTAAAAGCCAAAAACTTCTAGGATGAGCTTTTTTTTAAAACTCTTATCATCTTTTTTTGAATTATGTGCTTTTTTTTTAAATAAAGAATTATAGAGATAGAGAAAGATTTTTCTTAAAATATGTGTTTTTAAGTATCTTTAAACTAAAAAAATCATGTAATTATCAAACAACTTTTAAATTTTTTCTTAAGCTTTTTTTTTAGTTTTAACTTATAAGAAACTTCTAGCTTAAAAGAGAAAAGATCCAAACAAGCTCTTATGGCCCGTTTTGATAAGCTTTTTAAAAAGTGACTTTTTATGCGTTGCTTTTTTAAAAATACTTTTTTTCAAAAGTAAATTTATTTTACATTTGTAATATAACACAACACGAACAGAATCAAGATGTAAACTCATTCTTATTAGAATAAGAAATAAAATTCAAATACTAAATTAAAGATAAAAGATTATAGGAATTTTGGTAGAGAAGAGAGATATGAAGAGTGAGAGAAGAGGTGTGAAGAATGAATGGAGGGGTAGGGGTATTTATAAGACACACATGAGACGCCCCTTTTGGGTGTCACATGTGACGCTCCATTGGGGCGTCTTTCCTTTGGGTGAGACGCCTCAATGGGGCGTCACAGTGTGCAATAAATCTGTAATTATTTCCAAAACTACAATAAATGCGTAATTATTTAATTAAAAAGCATTATTTTAATTTTTTTTGCCTAAGATATAGTCTTCTTCTTCTTTTTTTCTTTTTTTGGATAATACATATAGTCTTTTTCTATGTCTGAAAACCTTGTCTAACTTATGGTTTGAATAAATGAACACTTGATTCGAAAAGAATTGTTACATACACGCCAATCTTTTAGGAGCTCATCTTTGGTACAGCCTATGTAGCACCGATACGACACGCGACACGTGACACGACACGACACGACACTCCGACACGTCAATCTTAAAAAATTATGGATTTCGACACGTTGGGACACGTTTTAATATTAAATAATATTTTTAATTTATATAGTGTATATTTCATTTAATATTTAATAATTTAACAAAAAAATGAAATTAAATTAATAATACCCATCAACACGTTATAAAGATGGAAACTTTAATAAAAAAAAATAACAACTGGGATGAGAGAGAGATATAATATCAGATAGAGAGATCAAATCATATTAGAGAGAGATACAACAAGAGCGTGATGGGAATTGACAACAATGATGCTGAGATGATCTCTTATCTACTTAAGGGAAAAAAAGACAAAAAGATAAAATTGATATGATCAGGTGGAAGCTTTATTAATATATTTTAACTTTTTAGAAAAAATAAATTCTTTAAAAAAAATTAAAAAAAAAAATTAAAAAAAATTACGAAAATGCCATTTGACCGTGTCGGACACGGTCAAATTCGCGTGTCGGAATAGTCAACGTGTCGGAAAAAGTCAACCGCGTGTCCGACACCGTGTCGGAGCGTGTTGCCGTGTCGGACCCGACTCTTCCTGTTTTTACAAGTGTCCGTGCTTCCTTGGGTACAGCAGTAGTATGTACTACTGCCATTGAAAATTAAACACTTGTTTTTAATATTTTTTCTTTTCTTTTCCATGTCATCAATCAGTATAGGTGTTTAATTAGTATTAGAGAAATGTACAGAAAAGTGGATAAGACAGTAGTATTGTAGAAATTTCCATCTTTTAGGACTTCCGACCGAAAAAGGATTTAAAAAAAAAAACCTAAAATAAGGAAGGACTTTTTTCAAGAGACCTATCAACCTTGATTCTTTGCCTGATTTTCCTTTCCTAACTCTTATCAACCTTGTAGTGTCCAGTCATAACCCTTCAGTCCTTCTTGGCCAAGCTTTTTGAAAGAAAAAGTGATAAAGATGCCACACCCCTTTATTAATGCCTAGTTCCTTTCTTCTTCTTCTTTTTTGTTAAATTCAATGTTTTAACTCAATTGTTTTTTCAATCCAAATTTTCACTCTTTATTAAAATATAAATACTATGAAAAAAAAATCATTTTGAACAATTTTAAAAGTTTTATAAAAACATTCTAATAAATATGATATTGACATTTCAAAATCAACTCAAATTAAATTAAACAAATTTAAAGGCTTAAATCTCAGTTTTAGTATGTGTTCTAGACCAATGTTTCATGTATACTTGGCCCAATTACATTATCCTATTGTCAACCATTGAAGACAATCATGCACCTGCTCTGTAGGTAAGTGGTGTTTACTTGTTAGTTTGCGAGACGCATGTGTACAAACGTTGAATTGACATTTGAATTCAAAGTTTGAATTCAAATCTGTTTTCAAATTAATCTTTTCGTTATACGTTTCTGTAATAAAGTTGTAAATTAATCTTTCCGTTATATGTTGTAAATTCAAAGTTAGAATAGACGTTACTAGGGTATTTACCAATTCAAAATGCTTACAGCAATTTAAGTGTTAGGCATATATGTATATAAAGATCTCAATTGATGAGAAAAATATAATGCAAGAAAATATTATCCCAATTTATGTGCACCTACTTTTTGACATGGTATCAAGAGCAAAGTTCTGATCCTTTCTAAGTGTGAAGCATCGAATCGTCATAATTTTTTGGAACCCACCCACCCATATCACATCCTCTTCCTTTATACGCCATTTTTTTAACTGTATTCGTATTGTTCCTTTTCTTCTTCAATGACCAACTCTGCTTCTGAAAACTCCAACCCCCCTCATGTTCCCTAAAACATTATTCTTCAACAAGATCATTCCTCCCTCCCTATTACCATTGTCCTTGATGATACCAACTATTCTTTATGGTCTCAACTTCTCGATATGCATATTTGTGCACCCAACAAAGATGGGTTTCTTGCCGATGCTAATCTGAAATCGAATGTCACTAATCCTACATATGATGCTTGGGTTACTGACAACAAACGAGTCAAGAGTTGGCTTATCGACTCTATGAGCCTACCCCTTTATGCAACGTTTTATTCGTCTCGAGACTGCCAAGAAGATCTGGGATGCTGCGAAGAAAACCTTCTATGATGGCTCTGATGAGACATGTCTCTTTGAACTCAACCAACGATCCTTCAACACCAAACAACTGGGTCGGCCACTCTCCGTGTACTACAATGAATTATTGTCCATTTTCCAGGTGATTGATCATTGTCTTTCTCCAGAGTCCACAATGGTTGATGGCATTCTTCATCTTCATTGGGCTATAACCCGTCTCAGGGTTCATATTTTCCTTAGTGGTCTTGATGCCGATTTTGATCAGGTTCGTGGTAAGATTCTACGCAAAGATCCCAAATTGGATCTTGAAAGTTCTTATGCCTATGTCCGAAGAGAAGCTTAACAACCCCATACTATGGGGAATCCTTAGCCCAGTGACGGTGCTGCACTTCTCCACATCCACCTCGCTCGGGACCTTCTCCATCTTCTGGCCGCAACCGTAACGACAAGCCTCCCTACAAATAATTTTAGGGTTTTGCATTTGTCATGATACATGACAAATGCAAAATTTTCTACACATACATCGATATTTATGCTACATTTTTTTCTTTTTTCTTTTAAACATAGTGGACCTCACACTTATTGTCTCTATAGCATGACAAGAGAATTATCCTATAACATGATACTTGTTTTTCTCATAATTTTAATGTAGAATTAGAATTTATTGCTCAATCTTTAACTTTTGACATATTATCTCCTACTAAAAATAAAACTTTAGTAAATTATCTTGTACAACTTTATGCATTTAGTAATTCATTAGTTTGATTAATCTTTTTTAGATAATTAATGCTAAACACATTATTATATTTAATTTTATATTTTCTTAGCCAAATATTTGTTATAATTTTGCAAAATAATGTTAAATGGTACTTGTTTATAATTTAAATTTTTTTATAAATCAATGAATTATAAAAATTAAGTAACTATTTATAAAAAGTTAAAATGCAAGAATTAAATTTAAAAAACGTGAGATAAAAAGGGATAAAACTAAAAGCATTCATAATTTAATGACAACAACGGAAATATTAACCCTTTCAACATAAAGCATCCAAAAGTTGAAATTGAACGTACATTCAATTAGAGGCAGCAAAACGGCTCGGTTTCGGCGGGTCAACCCGTCCAACTCGTCAAACTTAGCGAGCTGAATTTTTTAACTCATCTCAAAAGCGGAGCAGGATGAGGTGGGCTCATTTTTTGCCGGGTTGCTGGCAGGCATAGACGGGCCTAAGCGGGTCAGTGTAAAATAGGCTCGAGCTGGCGGATTGGCCCCAACCCGCCAAACGAGGCAGGGCGTGCTGAATTTTTCAACTCATTTTCAAAAGCAAGGCGAGAAGAACTAACTCATTTTTTGACAGGTTGATGGTAGGGGCGAGGCGGGCCGCTCCACCTCTACCTTCAATCCAGCAGGTATAATAACAGCTAGAAACTAGCTGGCGTTGTGCGACGGCCATAGCCAGCTCATAGGCCTCGTTACCTTGTCCCTTATACATTGCCAAATACCTGCCACGTACACTCCATGCATGTCCAAGCTTCTTTTTCATTGTTCATTCATTCTCCGAGCAGAGGACAAAATATTTTTAACAAAATTATAAATATTGAAAATATAATAGAAAAGTATATTTTTTTGAAAAAAAAATTATTTGATAGAACTGAATATTATCAGAAAAATTATGGATAAATTACCATTTTGCTGCTGACAGAATTACGTGGTATTCTTACTTCAATTTTATATACAAACAAATAAATTTTTTAGACAAATTTTTTTAAATCACTATCAAATATGATCTCCTTTAAATCTCATTCGCATTTTCGTAGATAACAAAATAAAATCCTGCTATCAAATGAAAATATTTAATGTGCTCTCGTCCAATCACTTATTCAGTAATTCAGATCAATCAAAATCAAATATTTTTTATAATATATGTATGAAGAAAATAAAAAAATTATTTTTTTCTTTATGTATCAGCTCACCTATGGGAGGATTACCTGCAGCCGGTTCAAAAAAATATCGCCTAAAACTCCAAAATTTCAAACCAAATTCTCTCCTCGTGGTCCCACCGTCACGCAGTGTCACATTTATCAACTTCACCTTCTAAAATGAAATATCTTTTTTCTTTATTGCGAGGGTTACGTTACATTATTTTAAATAAAAACATAATATGGATACAATTTAAAAGTTAAAAATATATAATTAAATATGGGATTATATATTACGCTTATTTTTTTATGCTTGTTTTATCTATTTCTTTCCGATATGGTAAAATCACATTCTCAAGTGGGAGAAGAGAAAAATGATAAAAGTTGATTGAAATTATAATATAACAATATCAGAAAGAATAAGTAATATATATATATATATATATATATATATATATATATATATATATATATTTTGCAAAAAACACTTCTCCTATTACAAGAAAAAATATTTTTCTTACGCCGCACACTCAAAAAAAAAATTATTTTATAAGAAAAAAGATGGTGAGCCCTATTATGCTTTTGTTTATGCGGGAGATGCCAAAATCTTCTTGAGGCTTAAAGCCTATATATAATATCTTATTCCTGTTGGGTATTCTTATTTTTAACATTTGATAGTAATATTACACCAATTTATTTGAGATTTTTATTTCTTTAAAAAATTATTTAATTATTATAAATATTCTTTATTTTTGAAAATATTATAAATATTATTTAACAAAATTAAAAACAAACGGACTCTACATAATATTAGGGAAGAAATTTGTTATAATGATATATAGAGAAAAACAAATATTAAAATTTTAACTCTAAACTGAATTTCATAAATTTTATTAATATCCTAAACGTATTTAAAGTGTTTGTAAACGTTCCATTCTCAAAATCGGCAATGATAAATGTCATTTAATTAAATATAAAACTATAAATTAAGTTGATGACAAAAATTGTCCTGATTAATAGAGTGTGTTAACCGTTAACAATTCTCTTTCGAATACGTGACGTGTCTCTTTCACCAGGGAGTCCCACCGCATGTACACACCAATAAGGTACAAACACGCTGTGGTGTCACCATCAATTCCTCTGAAAAACTTTGACGCCTCACTTCATCACATGTCCACGTTTCGCTATCTATCTGAACCAAGCCTTCCCTTCCTTCGCCGAAAATGTAGGCCCCACTCAACAGACCCAACCACGTGTCACTCCCTCACGAAGCGGCATCGTGCTCCCTTCTGCGTCTCGAGATTCAAGCCAAAACTATAGAGATTCGCGGCAACACCACCCAGCCACGTGTCCCTCTACACCCTCTTCCCATCACATCCCTTCACCATTCGCCACGTGGCTTTCACAGAACCTTCGAAAAGCAACTTAAACAGATTCTCATTCTCCCGTTCCTCGATTACAAAGGATTTAGCGGTGTAACCTTTGTTAACGCTCTTATCTTAATTACAAACCCCAACAACATTACCTTACGTGTCTCCAACCGCCCTCACTGCCTTCTCGCGTTCCGCCACGTGTCCCCTATTTTCCTCCCTTTTCTACCACCCCGCGATAAATAATAATAATAATAATAATAGAATTTGAAAATCAGAGTCCCATTTTTTCTTAGAAAGAGAAAAATTAACGTAAGTGTGATATGAAGTTCTAGCAACAATGGTGGAAGTTGAGGAGATAGAGCTGGATTTGGGGTTGTCCATAGGAGGGAGTTTCAGGAAACCCGTTGAGAAGCCAAGACCCGATTCGGAAACAAACGGGTTTCTTTCGGATTCGGATCCGCGAGAGAGAATAATGGGCATGGCCATGGTGGGTGTGGAGGATCCACAATCGAAGCGTGATATTCATGCCTTGAGGAGAATGGAGGCGAAGAATAAACGACAGCAGAAGAGGGTCAGAGAGTCCGAACCCGAATCCGAATGCCAACGGATATCCAAGAGGGAGAAAACGGATTGTCAGAATGTCATGAGTTGTAACACCACCGTTTCCTGGACGACGCCGTTTCATGTGCAGTACGTGCCGTTAAACAATGGCTTTGCGTTACCGTGTTTGGTTCCGAGCGATAAGAATGTGGGTGGAATAGACGGTGTTATTAACGGTGGAGATAAAAAAGCTGCTAAGTCTAATGGGTCTTCAAGGTGTAGTTCTTCTGCGGTTTCGGATTACCAGAGTTCTTCTCGTGAAGGTGAACTTTTTTTTTTTTAATTAATATACTTAATACTTGTTTGCTTTTGTTAGCTGATTATTATGATGTTTTTCCTTTCTTGAAATATTAAATATTATTTCATGGTATATGAATGCATTGAAAGTGTGCTCTGAGTATTTTCGTAATCCATATAACTTTGGAGTTATACAAAAACCTGAATATAAAAATTGATTTATTCACTTTTAAGAGTTATTATTTATATAAAGTAACTAATGCTGCAGATTTGATGTCACGAAGGGTTGAACATAACCAAGAAAAGAAGGTTCTAGATATTTAATTTAAGGGTTTTATAATTCTAATTCAAAATGAGAATTGAAATCTTCTTATACATCATTTCAACGTATAATTTTTTCTAATATATGTGACACATGCTTTTTATTTTTAGAACATAAGATTTAACTTCTCATTTAACTTCAGAATAATAAAACCCTTAATTTAATCGTGTAACATTATCGTGGAGCAAGATACTTAAGATGTGGATTTTATGCAATTTTAAACTAGCTGCAGGTTGTGCAATTCATAATCTTAATCATTCAATTTATCAAACTACAACTTTTTTATTAAAAAAAAAATTATTATACAAGAAAAATATATTTCAGGGTCAAGATGTCAAGCAATTCAATTTATTCATACACCATGCTTTGATATTTCAGTGTACTTTTCTTACAATTCAGTGTTGAGGTTTCATATTCAAAGCCTTTTCTTTGAATTTGTTAAAATATATGTAACAGGGATTTTGTTCACTATGTAATTCTCAACTTTAATCTTGATTCACAAAGTGTAAGCAGCTTAACTTCTTTAGGATATGCTTTTAATAACTCTTTGCATGTTTTGTTTTCTCAGATGGAGGCAGCACTGAATGTCATTCAGCTCATTCTCTAGCAGAACCAAATCAGTTGAACGGTTCCAAAGAAATTAACATCAGAAGCCATCTTGAAGAAAATGCTTCATCTAATCTAATGAGATCCAAACTTGACAATAATGTACAAGAGAGAAAGCACATTGTGAAGGAAACTCAGCCAAATATAATGCAGCCCAAGTCAATGAACCTCAAGGAAGAAGCTGCAACTAACAACAAATCACTTCCAATGCCAATTAACAAGCCTTTGTCTAAAGAAAATTCAAGCATTTTCCCCTTGAAGGATACCAAAGTTGATGTGGGAGAGCATCCAAAACCTCTGTCTCAGGCTTCTTCCCTTCCTCAAATGCCTTATGTATCAACAAAGGGAAATGGACCAAATGGGAAAACAGTAAATGGGTTTTTATTCAGATATACAAAATCTGAAGTTAGCATTGTTTGTGTCTGCCATGGAAGCACATTCTCACCTGCTGAGTTTGTGCAGCATGCAGGGGGCAGAGACATTTCACACCCTTTAAGACACATTACAGTTATTCCTTCTATTTTAGAGTGACCTTTTTTTTATAGCTATTTTCAGTTGTGTATCAAGAGACTTAGAAGTATATGATTTTAAGTGTCAATTTTATGATCTTCTTTCATGAGCTTTCTCTTTTTTTTTGTTATGAGCTTTCTCTATTAACTATTCTTTTTCTTCTGGTTGTTCTCTATTAGCTCTTTAATTAGTATAACTGCATCAATAACTTCTCCAACTGGACTATTTTGTTTTAAAGTGGGCCGGCTTCTATTTTTGTGTAATTAAATTTTTTTTTTTTTTTTATATTGGACTCTACTGTGAAATCTCTTTAACAATTGTTACTTGAATCCTTCCATCCTTTGGAAGGAATAAAAGAAATAATAAAACTAATCAAAATTGAGTATTTTTTCTTTAAATTATAAAAAACTAAGAGCTTCATTGTCATCCTTTTTTCTTTTGGTTATCATTTTAAATAGGATAAGTAATAGTCCTTACATTTTTTAAGTGAATAAAGAATTAGTAATAGTCCTTAAATTTTTTTAAATAAAATAATTATTTGACAGACAACATAATTGAATAGGCTTTTCTCTTTATTCAAATTTTTAAATAGTTAGATATAAAGTTAATGAAAATCAGTTAATGTAGACTTATTTAAATTTTTAAAAAACTATCAGATTAAATTTTGTTAATTGTAGAGAATTTATCTTTTAACTAAAGGTTGTTATTTAAAAATTTAGTAATTTGAGAGCTTAAAAGAATAATGAACATATCTTTCATTTTAAATTTAAACAAAGAGATCGGTAGACAGCTTTGTTTTTTTTTTTTTTTTTGGATTTTAGAAATAGAGTTTATTCAAAGTGGTGATGTGAAAAAAAAAATTATAACTTCATGCCAATCACTTGAATATATCGGATATTCATTAATAGATAAAATGCAAATATGATATTAAAATTTGTATTATGTTGGTATTGTGCCATTGCTAATGTAATATTAGTGAAAACAATATTTTTACATAGGTTGTGTGAACTCGCAAAATCACCGAGTTGGGCTTTTGTTAAAGACACATTTATGTTCGAACGGAGGCTTTTTGACTACTATAGTCTCTTTTTAATAATTAATTATCAAATTGACTTTATTTATAAACTATTTTAAAAATTTAACCTCTCCAGAAAATATAACACCAATCTGCTTCTGTTTGACCGTTGACCATGAAGCCTACCCGGGTACACCCCTCCCTACTCGGGTATTTTTTGAAAATTTATGCCTACCCGGGTAGGGAGGGGTGTACCCGGGTATAGTTCTCGACATCTGAAAAATTGTTTGAATTATTTCCACGAGTAGGGAGGGGTGTATCCGGGTAAATCTCGACCAGAAACCTCAAAACCGTTCGAATATTATCTCAACTATTTCAAATATTTATGGCATCTCAATGTGTTGTTATGCACCACAATAATTGATCCCTATTGATTGTGCCTCAATAAATACGCTCCTTCGTTGCTTGATTTCTGGGAATTATTCTGAAGTTATTTATTTTTGAATTAGTATTTATTTTCTTCCTAATCTGTTACAATTTTGTTTCCCTTTTTTAATGTTGATTTCTTTCCTAATTAGTGTGTAGCTGATTTATAGGGATTGTACCCTTCATCTTAGCGGTTTTGAGGTTTCTGGTCGAGATTTACCCGGGTACACCCCTCCCTATCCAAGTAAATAATTCAAGCAATTTTTCAGATGTCAAGAACTATACTCGGGTACATTCCTCCCTACCCGAGTAGGTAAAAAATTTCAAAATATACCCGGGTAGGGAGGGGTGTACCCGGGTAGGCTTGGTGGTCAACGGTTAAACAGGGGCAGATTGGTGTTATATTTTTTGGGGAGGTTAAATTTTCTAAATAGTTTATAATGAAGGTCAATTTGATAATTAATTATTAATAAAGGGTTCTAAGGGTCAAAAAGCCTCGAATGAAATATATTCATATTTGTGTTAGACTTCAATTATACATGAGCACAATCTGTTGACATAGCATCTGTGAGCAAATAATAATTATAGAGAAAATTATGTGCTGTGGTAGATTAGTGTGCACAAACAAGAGTCCGAAAGCCAGTGTATGTGTGTGCATATGCGGGTGTAACAATAACTAGAGATATTAGGATTTAAAAAGATATACCTATGAGATTTAATGCTTTGTTTATAGAGGAGTTTTATCGGAAGGTAGATAAGGCCAATTTTACCTAACAAGACAAGGTACCCAGAGCATAGTTCCAAAACAATTTCCCTATTATGTATTTAAACTTTTGGATCCAAACATATGATTAGAAAAATCATGATCATCACCTAGTGAAAAACATATGTTGGAAGGTACAAAGGTTAAGTCTATTTTTTTGTTTGGAGGAAAAAGGTAGGGAAGGAAAGGAATTCAAGTAAGAGGGAGAGGAGGGAAGGGAAAAGAAAGAAAATGAAGGGCTGGTTTGGTGGACTGGATATGATAAGAGCGGATAGGATAAGAAAGTTGGATAAGGGTAAGATATGATATGGGGATGATAAGCCTATATCATCTCATGTGTTTTATGAGCACCTGATTAGCAGCAATCTGATAATATTATATTATCCTATCATGTGTTTGAGGCGAACCTGATATCATCATGATATGATATAAATAGACTAAAATACTCTTTTTAACATAATGTCATATAATTTATCAAAAATTAATTTTTAAATTTTTTAAATTTATTTATACAATTCTAACATTTATAATTTTAAACAAAATAATTTTAATTAATTTTTTTATCTGCATATCATATGTACCATTATTCAAAAATCATGTTTCATGTTTCATTAAAAAAAAATGCATTCAATTCAAAAAGGTATATCAATTAATGGTGCTTTCATTTGCTAAGTAGAAACTTTGATCTACATGTAAATACAACTTATAATTTACAAAAAAAAATAAAAAATACAACTTATAATTTGGGGTGGAGAAGGAGAAAGAAAAACCAAAATATAATGCAATAAATACAAATATATTGGGTTGCGTGGGGATATATTGGGTAGCGTAAAGATATATTGAGTATTCAATATTGGTATCCTATCCTATTAAATCATAATCTAGCTCCTTCCATAGGATAAGAAATCATGTATTGGCTAGGATAAAATGAGACAATAGGATAAGCTAATCATATCCTATTGATCCACCAAACAAGAGATAAAAGTAGGATATGATAAATTATCATATCTTATCTTCTTTATCATATACTCCAAACAGGCCCGAAAGATATTTCCTTCCCTTATTTGGGAGTTAAAACCTCCCAAATTGAGAAAACTTTAATTTTAATAACAATAAGAGTTTTGAGGGATTTTGTGATCCCCAAATTCTTTTCTTTTCTTTTTTAAACTCACAAGTCACAAACAAGAGAAGATGATTAATAAAACTGTTGAGATATTCACTTTTTTTCCTTTGCTTCCTAAAACTAACTCGGAAACAACCCTTAAGGTTTCATTTGCCACCATATTGTCCTATTTTTGTAACGAGGCATTGTTCCGGCTGAGGTTTTAAAGTATCTTTTTATGCCTTTGTGTTGATGTTTCATATTCGTCAAATTTATTTAGCCTGTAATTCTCAACTGTAAGCTTGATTTCTATTACCTTCCTTCGATGGAGGCAACACCATTCAACTCATTCTTTGGCAGAACCAACTTGGTCGATCACTTCCAATAAAATTAACATCACAAGCAAACCTCCATATTTTTTCCTTTTCTTGGTCTTGATCTTAGATGAAAAAATTGATAATGAACACTTAGAAAGAGCTCATTTACAACCATCTGATCCCCTCTTAGAACGCCTCTCTTTGTGGTAGAAATGTTAGAGTGAGAACCTAATTGCAGAGACCCTTTCACAATGTACTTACATACATTTCTTTTTTTGTTGGTTACTTACATACATTTCTAACCGTAAACAACTTCCGCAATAGAATGGGTCAGGCCCATCTCATATAAAAAACTAATATAGGATAACGTGCTAAACAAGCCCGTATATTTGAACCCCCATTCAGAACCAGGTCTAGTAATCAATTAAGCACACAATAAACTTTGAAAATTATTCAACAATCTCCCACTTTTCCTAATTAATTATGAAGTCCAAATCCATCATCGTGGCCATGGAATTTATTTATACTACTGGTTATCGAAATTCAAAGATGAACAACAACAAAAGATACACCTCAACTTATGACATACAACTTTTTGTCAGTTACAATCAAGGTATACCCAACAAAAAACTTTGGGATGTATGAAATTCAAAATTTCACTTAGGTCCTTCCCTGATTGTAAAACCAAGATGCCTAAAATAACCATATATGAGTATACTTTGGTATTAACCAATATTGAGGGCAATCGCTATCAACTTAGATTAATATCTATCTTTGGCTAAACATCTCTATTACGTGAATGATATACTCCCTATTGGAAACAATTTGGAGGTATTATTAGGAATAAAGAGTTGGTCAAGTAAGAATTTTGGTATGAAAAACTTGGGGAAATATATCTATATTCTACGAATAAAACTTTTATGGGATTGGAAGAATAAAATTGTTGGGATTATCTCAAGCTTCTTACAATGACAAAATCGTTGCAGGTTGAGCATAGAAAATTCTAAGAGGAGAATCATGCTCTTTAAACACGAATGAATAGGATATCTTATGTTTCACTAATAGATAGTCTCATGTATGACTTGTTGTGCACCAAGATAGATATTTGCCACGCAGTGGGAGTAGCGAACCAGTATCAATTCGACCCTGGAGAACATTAAATAGTTGCTAAACATATACTCAAATATTTTCGGAGAATAAGAGATTATATGCTAGCCTATTTTGGTGGGAGTCTTGAAACCGTAAGTCAGACAGACTTAGCTTTCTGACGGAATATTGACTCAAGAAAATCGACTTTAAGCTAAGGGTGTACATTTAAACCAGGATAGCATTATAGGTTAAACTAGCAAATCCTTTCACCAAGAGTTTACCTAAATGTGTGTTTGAGACGAATGTCACTTCTTTAGGTTTTATGAGGTTCCCCTTATACTAGGAAAGTGGGATATATTGTTTTATTTATGCTCTTGGAA